CGCTATTTAAGGGACGCCCTTCTTTTTTGGGGGGGGGGGGCTCCATATTAGGGGGAGGAGCCTCCATTGCTGTGCAGCAGAACCCCAAAGGGGATTCTGATAAAGTCGATCACATTCCGGCCCGTCCAGGATTTGTATTATCGCAGGAGGAGGAGCCAACTACACGGGCCGAGCCGGGGTCCCCCCTCCCAGGAGACACAAACACTTCCTACCTCATGATGAAGTCGTGGCCGTCGATGTCCTTCCCGTAGCCGGAACCGCGCAGGTTTCCCGAATTACCGACCACGGCGCAGCGGCGGCACACCAGCGAGTTGTTCTGCTTGTACGGGTTCTGCCGGGGAATGATCTGGAAGAGCTGCGACAAGACCTCCGACGTGTTCAGAAACCTGAACTGCGGCTGCAGCATCTAGACAGAGAGGACACGGGGTCACTTACCCCACAGAGGGTCACTTACCCCACACACAGGGGTCACTTACCCCACACACACACACAGGGGTCACTTACCCCACAGAGGGTCACTTACCCCACACACAGGGGTCACTTACCCCACACACACACACAGGGGTCACTTACCCCACAGAGGGTCACTTACCCCACACACAGGGGTCACTTACCCCACACACACACACAGGGGTCACTTACCCCACAGAGGGTCACTTACCCCACACACAGGGGTCACTTACCCCACACACACACACAGGGGTCACTTACCCCACAGAGGGTCACTTACCCCACACACAGGGGTCACTTACCCCACACACACACACAGGGGTCACTTACCCCACAGAGGGTCACTTACCCCACACACAGGGGTCACTTACCCCACACACACACACAGGGGTCACTTACCCCACAGAGGGTCACTTACCCCACACACAGGGGTCACTTACCCCACACACACACACAGGGGTCACTTACCCCACAGAGGGTCACTTACCCCACACACAGGGGTCACTTACCCCACACACACACACAGGGGTCACTTACCCCACAGAGGGTCACTTACCCCACACACAGGGGTCACTTACCCCACACACACACACAGGGGTCACTTACCCCACAGAGGGTCACTTACCCCACACACAGGGGTCACTTACCCCACACACACACACAGGGGTCACTTACCCCACAGAGGGTCACTTACCCCACACACAGGGGTCACTTACCCCACACACACACACAGGGGTCACTTACCCCACAGAGGGTCACTTACCCCACACACAGGGGTCACTTACCCCACACACACACACAGGGGTCACTTACCCCACAGAGGGTCACTTACCCCACACACAGGGGTCACTTACCCCACACACACACACAGGGGTCACTTACCCCACAGAGGGTCACTTACCCCACACACAGGGGTCACTTACCCCACACACACACACAGGGGTCACTTACCCCACAGAGGGTCACTTACCCCACACACAGGGGTCACTTACCCCACACACACACACAGGGGTCACTTACCCCACAGAGGGTCACTTACCCCACACACAGGGGTCACTTACCCCACACACACACACAGGGGTCACTTACCCCACAGAGGGTCACTTACCCCACACACAGGGGTCACTTACCCCACACACACACACAGGGGTCACTTACCCCACAGAGGGTCACTTACCCCACACAAGAGGGGTCACTTACCCCACACACACAGGGGTCACTTACCCCACACACACAGAGGTCCCTTACCCCACACACACAGGGGTCACTTACCCCACACACACAGGGGTCACTTACCCCACACACACAGGGGTCACTTACCCCACACACACA